TATGATGTTTTCTGCGAAAATAATATTTTGCTTGAAACTTAAGAACCACACAAAAAAATTTGGCGGGGTATTTGCCGTTCGTCAATAAAAAGTTTTGAAAATTACAGTGCCAAAAGTAAATAAGTATCTGTACAAGACATATCTGCTAAATTATATTGAGAAATACAAAATTTTTATCTTTTATAAAAGTGCGGGATTTTTGACGGTTTTGAAATGGTTAAATTTTATTGTTTTTGATTAGATTTTTAATATTCATATTGCTAATTTTTAACAGCTTCTACAAATCAAATTTTTCAGTTGTGTTTCGGACAATTAGTTATTTAATATTTTTTGTACAAAACTAACTTTTTTGTAACTCCTTAAGAAATTCTTAGATGAGAACTGAAATAGATAGGATAGAAAACGTAATTCGTGCCAAAAAAGCTTTAGACAACAAGCTAATCGTATTGTAAAACGGTTGACATCTGAATTACTAATAGTTTTAAAGTATTAGAAATTAAGTAATTAAGTAAATAAAATAAAAAACGGGGTTAATTAATGCAGTTGTACAAGTTTAAGAAAAATTGATCCATCGATAAATAATATCGTATCAAAATTAAGTTGTCACAATTTTATTACAAATGGATAGATACAAATGTGATTCCAGTGATACACAACCGCAACAATTAAAGTATTTATCATTTTTCTTGTTTAATCGATGGATTAATTGATTTGCAGAAGCACGGTTTAGTTTTAATGCGCTTTTGTACTAATTGAATTGCAAACACCACATATTAATCTTGCATATTAGCCCTAACTGTAACTCTATTTTAATGACAATAGCCAATGTAGAACTAGATCGGTCGAATTTTTAATTTTATAGTCAAACAGAAATTTACTTACACTACTTGTATTAAGATTTAGTAAGCAGGATCGTAATTAAAAATTTTTGCAACGCAAAAGCGATTTATCAGAGTTCCACTTTGTATTCTTTCTAATGTTTCATAATTTAAAGGTATGTGAGATATATTGGACCCTTGAATGGAAGCAAATAACGCTGGCCAGAACGGAAATAAGTTTTTTATTCATATGAAAGCTCAGCGTCGGTTACAATCGGCCGCCAATTTTCAAAAGCGGCGATAAAAGCATTTTTGTCATTTATCTCGGCGGAAAGATTAAAGGGCGCTGGGGTAATAAAATTCACGCTTAGAATAATCGTCACAAGTACATTGGATTTATTTGAAAAAATACTTTCAAAAGCAAAGCTTTTAACGTATTCGCAAAATTCTAAATATATATCACACGCGCTGCTTCTTCCACAGTATATCGATTTCAAATTATTTGCGTGGGAATTACCGTCAACATTACTTTTAAGTAGATAAACCTACAAAGGTATTTATACAAAACCTTAACCGCAATAGAACATATACAAGGGTGAGTAATTTCCGTCTATATATACTCGATCACGTTCTAAATAATATCTTGATTTTAACTGATCTGGTCCAATAAGAACCGCTCTCATTCATAGCATCCAATCAATGCAATAAGCCTTTTGTTCTTGAAAGGTACCTGATTTAAATAACAGTAGAATTTCGATAGCTTCGATCGAAGAAAACAATAGCCTTTGACGTTATTGAAATCTACACCTTAACCAAAGTGATATTCAATGTATAATAAACATCTGTAATCATAATGACCAAAATAAGCACATCTAGCATATTAAAAAATGTTCTTTGATTAAAAATCACTAGTACTGACGTATTCGTGGAAGAAATAAACAATTGGATAACATTCGGCGGGTCTAAATGTTTACAATAAGGTGTATAGTTAGTTGCATATAAAAAGACACCAAATTTAAAATAAATCTTAAAATTGTAAGTATAATAATAAAACAATCTAGTTGTCTATGTTCTTAAAAGAAATCTATGGCTTCTTGATTGAAACGTTCGGTCAATTAAAGGCGTTGAACGAAAAAACGCTCGCAGTTAAAAGCCGTTGTATCTTTATACGTTGTCATCGAGAAAATGGACATATAAACAAGTTAAAGCTAGTTCCTTCAGTTCTAGGTCAAGCCTTCTTGATTTGAGTTTACACAGTCTATTCATAACCAAAGCTCAAGTGTCATTTTCTGTTTTTGTTCTAACAACGAAAATAAAAAGAAACAGAAGCATACTATAAAAACCATTCGTTAATTTTATTATTAAGTAATTAAAATCGTTCATGTTTAGAAAAATATTTTGCCTCACTGAAGCTCTTTACGTACTAGAGAGAAATTCTGTGTTGCAGACTTTCGTCATTGAACTGGTCTGCGCTCACAGAAAAAGGCTTTCAATTTAATTTGCCCCAACACTGGTTTCTCCGACACGTCTAAGCAATGTAAAAAACAAAACCAATTTGTTGCTACTGCCAAACTTCAACGAAACCATCCATTTAATTTTTGATAGCTCGTCCCAGACACCCGTACCACCCACGTAAAGTGAAAAGTTTCATTTTAAAATGCTACGGCTTTACTTTACGACGTCCCTCTTTTTACTGCGAAACCTGCTTTCCTCTGATCAAAAGTTTTACTTATATTACAACCCTCGACGTGAAGAGTTAGAACCATATTTCATGATTTTTCGGTATTACGGTATTAGCAGTCTTCTGGTGTTCCTCAGGGCTGCAACATGCGTCCTCTTCTATTAGTTTATTGAGCGCCTTTGATTCTTTTAGTTTCAAAAATATATTTGGGCAAATAAACACTGAAATAACGTTGATTTAATCTAATTTATTGATTTTGTACAACTTTTTGAAAGATGTACTTTGCTAATTTGTTTATAAATTCAATTTTATGTCCTGTTTCTTTTTTCTTGGCGTCTCTCCGGAAATTACCCGGCATTGTAGAGAGCACTTTTGGTGCACATATAATAAATATGTTTTAGTGATGTATTGCGCCTTCATAACCGCTAATTTGTACCCATTTTGGCTTATTAAATGCCGTAAATATTGCACATGTTTCTTTTATATTCGACCAGAAGGAGAATGAAATTTATTATCGCGCTAAGCCAACTCGAAACGTGCAACATTATTATATTTCAAGTTTGCTCACGCGAAATTGGTTTCGTTAAACTTTAAGCTCGTTGTGCCCTTATGAGAATATGGCTTGCGACATCCTGTATTCGAATTCCCATGTGCATGACTGTCTGAAATTGAATTAATTAATCGGTTTCGTCCTATTGAAGTTCTAACCCATCTACCTTTGACTACATTAACAACCTTAACTACATCAGTACCTATAGAATTATCCATTTAAATCGAGTATGTTCGATCATATTAATAATTTTAATAACATATTGTAATTAATTTTCTAGAAGCTAAAACATCCACTTTTATAAATTTTAAATTCGGTTTTGAGTATCGGTCTTAACATTTGTTTAATTAATTTAATTAATCATTTTGACTTTAGATTATTGTATCCATTCGAAGTTTGAACAGAAAGAATGAGTTGGCAGTGAAAATTAAATAGGGAAAACGTACGGTATCAAGACGATATAGAATTTAAGAAAAGTTACTAATTAGTTTATAAATATCCTCTCAATATCCTACTGTAGCTACCATTTAAAATTAAATGTAATTTTCCTTGATCAAGCTAAAAAGAATGGACTTTAAAGTTTCAAAAACGTGTTTAAAGGTACAAGGATTTCACTCTTATATATCCTTGTTATATTTGTGAAGGTAATATTTCCCCAGTTGATACATTTATCATATTTAACGATTGTCTGTACACATTACATGAATCCATGGGTGTATCATTGAAGTGAATATCTCTAACCCGTGAATCCCGACGGTCTCGTCTCGTCGGCACTGGAATAAGTACAGAATGGGACGGGACCAGATCATTAGATGTTCACTTAAGTATAAATTACACAGAAATTACAAAGGAAATGTGGCGATGTCAGTTTTATTAAGGACGAAGTGGAAACGTTTTTTGCACAATTTGAAACTTTTTACAAATGAGAACTAACGTTTGTAATAAAGACAACATATTTATATAGAAATCGTTTCAATGTTTATTAGTATTCTAAAAAATTCTCAAAGGAGTACCTTGAAAACTTTAGCAATCCTAAAAACAAAATTATGAGGAACCATACTGAATTATCAATGTTGAAATAAACTAAAAATTTTCACTGAAAGCAAACTTTATAATGAAACAGGAACACTGTACTACTTCCTTTGTAATAAAATTATACTCTTTAGTTATAGTTCTGAAGAAGCTACTACTATGTCTCATTAAATGTTTAGAATAGAACAATTGTTAGGATTTGTTCTGTACATGACAGAACACTCCCTTTTTCTTTGTATTTTAATTAAAAAAGTTTTATTTTCTTTTCAGAATCTTAAAAACCAGATAATGACGACAAACCTGTGGGTCGAACAAGTGAGTCCTTAACATAATGATATCTCGACAGGGATTATTTTTATCTGATCTTTTCTTTGTTACAGTCGTGGTACGATTACAAACTTAAATGGGACCCACGGGAGTATGGAGGGGTTGAAATGCTTCATGTACCATCAGACCATATTTGGCGTCCAGATATAGTTCTTTATAACAAGTAAGTTTAAGCTTTAAAATAGTTTTGGTTTATTAAATTTTGTTCTTAATTATATTTTTAACAACATATTTTTTTTGGAGTTAAAAGTCCAAAGTATTCCGGTAAATGTGATTGAACAAATAAAATGATTTATCTTAGATTTTTGTAAAAGAATGAAAGAAAGAACAGTGATTGACTAATTATTTTAATACGAATGAATATTTAATGTTTCAATCTTATCATAGGTAGCAATTTCGAGACTTTAAGGATGTTTGGGAGGTATGTCAAAATGCTACGAGACAAATAAAAATTTGGAATAACGTTCCTCATTCAATTCTAAAACTCCTGTAAAAATTACAAATCGATTCACTAAACCGTTAAAAAGTTATTGAAATTTTAAAAAATTGTAATTTTACACGTCATTTTATGGAGATTCGTTAACCGAACAGATTAAATTTATTTTTATTAACAGAAAAAAAGCTACCAGAAATTTCAAACTTTTATAATAAGTAACTTGAACTCTGGAGAATCACTTTAGCGTAAGGTTATTCAAATTCACTAAATGGTTATCGAGGAAAAAATGAAAAATTAGCTGAAAATCTCGTTTTTACTTGATAATATAATGGTAATATTTATAATTGTCTGAAATAAATGTAATTTTAATGTTTTAATTAAACTAAATATTTTTTTGTTTCGAAGTTGAAATCAAGGCATATTCACTGCCAAAAGTTAGTTAAAAATTTTCCATTGTATTCGTTATTTCTTATTTTATTCAAAGTTTTTGGTCAAATTCCAAATTTTCTCTCAAACCGTATAGTTTTTTATTAGTATAGATAGTATTTATTTACCTCATGATATGCTGCAAAACCTAATTAATCACGAATTTCTAATTTCATGTGCTCTTGTCTCCGATTGTACCTCCCAAACATCCTAAAATGAGTTTAATGATTTTTTAAGTACAGGCAAATAAAAAATGAGCGCGGGTAGTTAATGCCTTCATGAAAACGAGTCACTTGGATCTGAACAAAAAGCCATTACACGAAATATTGCTTATGCTATTATGATAGTGGTTCCTCAAGTAACTATTGTTCGTCAATTGGCCATTGTAATTGCATATTGTTCATTAAATATCATTATTTGATACGAATACGATGCTATTACATTAATCAACGTACCAAACCGAGTCCTAATTAACTCCTCGTCCTTTCGCCTTCTACTGGATCGGAATCCAGCGTTAAAAGCAGCCGGCTTGTACCACAGTAAGGATTAAATCTGAGTTTTCCTTTGAAAAGGGAAATTGGGGAAAACGAGGTTATCATGGCCGAGAAAGGAATCTACGCATTCCTTCTTTGAAACTGAACTTGTTTAGCAAATTTTGTTAAGCTGCAGATACTCTAAAAAAGAAGCAAATGATTCTTTCAACCACTCTAACTCACATTTTCAATCTAATTTTTTGCTAAATGTACGGGGGTCATTTGAATATGACTTTAATGTAAAAGATAATAAATTTTTGATGTTTAGATTAATAAAATTTTCTTATATAGCAAGGCTATAAAAATTAAAGGGTTATACTAATAAAAAACAAATGATAATAAAAGTACAAATGAGGGTGTAATTCCAAAAGTAAAGTCTACAAAGGGCTAGAATCTCAGGTACTTCTCTATTTATATTTACCCTATTGTACTATCAATTTTCGACAGAACGTCGCTAAGTTTGATCAACGCTCACCCGCTCTATAGTACGAATTTGGCACCCAGTGACTACTCCTTTCCCTTAAGTTAAACGAAAATTTGACCGGAACGCGCGTCATGCAAGAAAATAGAGAAACTACCCCTTTTTATAAGCATTCTTGTATTGTTTAATACAGCACCCTGTGTTGATGAATTGATCACCGTATTGTTCTGTTTTTGATTTGCAGTGCTGACGGCAACTTCGAAGTAACATTAGCTACAAAAGCCACCCTCAATTTCACTGGAAGGGTGGATTGGAAGCCACCAGCGATATACAAGTCTTCTTGCGAAATCGATGTTGAATATTTCCCTTTCGACGAGCAAACCTGTGTCATGAAATTTGGCTCGTGGACATACGATGGCTTTCAGGTAAACACTTAATTTTTGTATTTGTAAAATGCTTTTGCTTTTACCTCTGTGTTGTACAACACTGCGTCGAAGTTTTTGAGAAAATAAGACATTTACTACATCCCATTGATCGTTGAAAGAAAATTCCAATTTAACGCACAAATACATTATTTATAGGCAGGCAGAACTAAACGTGAATAGGGGAAAATCATCGGTTACGGCGAGAAATAGTTTTTACATTTGAATTTCAAATTTTCTTTTTCCATATAACTTTGGCAGTGTACCAAATATATTCTTCAACAACCACAAAATTTATGGATATATTTAATTGCGCAAACATAGCACCTGCGGAAAATAATTTGGTTTGATGAATTGGTAAAATTGTCGCTGTTAATTTAATAAGAGAGGGTTTAATATATTCCCATTATACCTAGCAAACTTTTAGTAGGGTGGCTTAATTAATAAATCCAGCAAAAGGATTTCTATAATGTAAAATTTAAATTGTAAGGAATTTCTTTAATCGTCAAGGAGTTAATAAATAATAAAATCGCTGAGGAGTATTTATATGAACGTTTGATTTGAAGGTCTAATACGAAGACAGGTACCTGATATAGATGGAGGGAAAAATTGGATTCAATTAACATTTTAATTCTTTAGAATCAGAAGTTTACAAACACTTTAATTAAATAATTATAAAAAGGAATCCGTTAATAAGACTTTTTGTAGGCATGATCCTTTTCAAGGTTTTCCTTTTACGTCTTTGTGATATCGAGGGTCTATGATTCTTAACAAGCTAGAGAGATAGTTGAACAACAAATAACAGGTCAATTGAAAAATCCCCGGCCTAAAATAGTAAAACACATTTTTTTTGCAAAATTCGTTTTTTTTATTCAACATAATTCCCTTCAAGGGTGATACACTGATTATAGCGATCCTCCAACTTTTCGATACCATTTTTGTAGTACGATTTGTCCTTTGCTTCAAAATAGGCCTCAGTTTCGGCGATCACCTCTTCATTCGACGAAAATTTTTTCCCAACGAGCATTCTTTTGAGATCTGAGAACAGGAAGTAGTCGCTGGGGGCCAGATCTGGAGAATACGATGGATGCGGAAGCAATTCGGAATCCAATTCATGAATTTTTGCCATCGTTTTCACTGACTTGTGAGACGGTGCATTGTCTTGGTGAAGCAGGACTTTCTTTTTCTGTAAATGCGCTCGTTTCTCGGCGATTTCAAACGGTCCAATAACGCTATGTAATAGTCGCTGTTGATGGTCCTTCCTTTTTCAAGGTAGTCAATGAAAATTATTCCACGCGCATCCCAAAATACAGACGCCATAACCTTGCCAGCCGACTGTTGCGTTTTTGCACGCTTTGGAGCGGGTTCATCGTGTGGAGTCCACTCAGATGACCGTCGATTGGACTTCGGAGTGAAATGATGGAGCCATGTTTCATCCATTGTCACATATCGACGCAAAAACTAGGGTTTATTACGCGTGATCATCTTCAAACACTGCTCTGAATCATCAACTCGTCGTTGTTTTTGGTCAAAAGTGAGCTCGCGCGGCACCCACTTTGCACACAGCTTTCTCAAACCCAAATATTCGTGAATGATGTGATGTATACGTTCCGTTGATATCTGTAGAGTGTCTGCTATTTCATTCAATTTCAATTTACGGTCATTCAAAATCATTTTGTGGATTTTTTTAATGTTTTTGTCCGTAACAGCCTCATTTGGGCGTCCACTGCGTTCACCGTCTTCGGTGCTCATTTCACCACGTCTAAACTTAGCATACCAATCCTTGATGGTTGATTTTCCTGGGGCAGTGTCCGGAAATTCGTTATCAAGCCGATCCGACAGCCGTCAAATTTATAGACGCGTCTTTTGAAGGTTAGGACTAACTGAAAATCATATGGATTTAGTTCTGGTGCCGCTATTTATGTGTCAGGCCGGGGACTTTTCAATTGACCCTAGTAGATACATATACCACTTTAGTTTAAAGTGGCAACTTTTTGATACTAGAATGCAGTACAGATACGTACTGACTAACAAGAACTTGGCGTACTATTCAAATAGAAATATCGAGGACATGACCTATATGTTAGATATAAACTAACAATCTTGACCTTGCCGACAATCTCTATACTACTAGAGTACTTCCACTTCCTTGCACTAAACCCTAAAAGAATTATACAAAAAGGAAAAGGAAATCAAAAATCCACTCTCCATATTCTTATAAAATGTAAAAAGAGCTTTAGAATTTTTACAAAAGTGTTTCACAATGTATTCATTGACAATAGACTTAAACATTTACTGAACAATACGTAACGAAAATTAAGCCGAAAAGTATTAGAGAAAGCCACAGAGGAAAGACTTTTTTCCGTTTAATACGAGAGTGATGGGCTTATTTGTTACTCTGGTGTACTAATATTTGAAAGAGTTGCTTTCAGCTAGGAAGTTTCACATCATTTCGCGAACAATGACATTTATTTTACGACTGGTATATATTTCACGTCGTAGCACGTGCCTGTTTTTGTCGCTGCTGCCTAGGGTTTTATTTCCACTATTTCAAGTTAAGACAAGCTTAAATATAGTATTAGTTGCATGACAGTTTCCTCGGGAATACCGGCATAACTTCCAGGCTACATTTCTCGAATGTGAATTACGCTCGTGCACCTACAAAACTAATAAAAAATTCTTCTAACGTACAATGCTACAGTTTGGCTAGATTTATGAAACTATTACTGTGGAACAAGGGGCTGCTTAAAAATAAAAAGAAAATTTTATCGTTGTACGCACAATACGAATCGTTGTTTTAAAATTATTAAATTCCAGTATCACCCAAATCCTTAAAGCCACTTTCAGGAACGCTCTACATCTACAGTAATCACTACATAGTATAAAACAAAGTCGCTTTCCCGCTGTCTGTCCCTATGTATGCTTAAATCATTAAAACTACGCAACGGATTTTGATGCGGTTTTTTTTAAAAGATAGAGTGATTCAAGAGGAAGGTTTATATGTATAATACATGCATAATATAGTAGGGAAACACTGATAATTTTAGAGGTTTCTAATGTGATGTCGTAAATAAACACATTTTTTGCGCTTACATTGCAAACGCTGGCTGAACCCTACGAGATAGATCAAAATAATGTACTACAATATTGTACATCTTAAAAGGGTCTATAAAAAAGTCCGGGATAGTATATGTCTATCTCTTAGGGATAACCCACAATAACCATTTTTATCCTTTACTTTTTATGAGAAATAATGACTTACTTACGAAGCGATTGTAGGCAATACAGCATTAATTCTTATCGAAATTAAGTACCTTAAATACATTGTGCATTTAATATAGATCAATATGGCCCTTTACAGCATGTAATTTAAATGAATATTTTCGAAGATATTACAGATTTAAAATGCAGAGACATAGCGGTTGCGGCGGTACCGGCCGGGAGGCCGGTTTGTATTGTCTAATGACAAAAAGACTGTGAATGTTGTATATAAAGACATTCTGTAGTATATTTAGTATGTTCAGGGGGTATCTCTTGAAGATTTCCCCTTTTCGATAATAATCTAAACACCCGTGCGAAGCTGGGGCGGGTCACTAGTAAGTAATATAACAATTTTATTTATATTTGGGGTTTATCTGTAATTTGGCGGCGAATTTTTGTTGTATTTCTTGTCGGCATTCAGCTTATAATTATTTTTTGCTTTGTTTCAATTAAGTCGTATGAGGGAACGGTATTTAGCGTTTGCATCGTCATGAAGTCATCCATCATAATTTCGCGTTGTTTATGATGGTGTTAAGTATCTCGTTGGCAAGAGCGAAAAAGAGTGAAGCTTACGAAAGTACGAGATACTTGAAGTCAAGTCATCATCACTTCCACCTTGGTTGTTGCCACTACCATTAATGACTGTCATTCTTACACGTCCTGTTTACATTTTATCATCACGGTAAATTTTACACAAATTGCTTCCTCTAAACCTTCACGCGCGCACAGCTTTAACAGCACGAGAGGAAATGTAAGGGATGAAAAAATAATATTAACTTGGAGTGGTGCAATTCAGCATTTTTATTTTCTCATTTATGTTGCGTCGCACAATAAATAAAAGAAACAATTTACAGAGAACTAATTTGCCTATTAGTACAAACTATTTGTTCGACCAATTATAAAAATTATCCCAATTGCTTTATGTAGCAGCTGGCAAAATAACTCTACCGTTACTGATAACAATTTGTTCAACAGGTTGATTTGCGGCATGTTGATGAGATAAGGGGTTCAAGTGTTGTAGATGTTGGGATAGATTTAAGTGAATTTTACACGTCTGTCGAATGGGACATCCTGGAGGTGCCTGCAATAAGGTAATTTAATTTACTAACGAATTGCAGTAAGCAATAGAATTAATACGTCGATTTTCTTGTGCAACGCTACCATTCAATGACAGAAATAAAGAACATAAAGCAAAGATACACTTGTCTAGTCCGTGTAGATATATCTTGCTTTTGTTTCTAAAGGAAAACACGGAATCTCGCTCGCGTTATGTGTTAGTTTTCGTTCTCCGTGGTGTAAAGTTTTAGTGATTGATAGATAGTACATATACCTATCTACTTACTGTATAAGTTTAACTCAATTTTTCAGAAACGAAAAGTTCTACACATGCTGTGACGAACCGTATTTAGACATCACCTTCAACATAACAATGCGAAGAAAGACGCTATTTTACACTGTCAATTTAATTATTCCTTGTATGGGAATATCGTTTTTGACTGTCCTAGTTTTCTATTTACCAAGCGATAGTGGAGAAAAGGTACTGTAAATTATCTATTGTCCTATTACAATAATTTACGTTTCCCTTTTGTTATTTTACCTCTAGATGTTTGTATTTCATGGTCGGCTATGTTTACACAGTTTGTAGCTTTTATTTTCGTTTTGTAGAAAGCATGCTCAGGTGCTTTAATTTATTTCAGTTGCGAATTTATCTTTTAAATAATGCGTCTCCGTTCGTACTGTTCTATTCGAAAAGTTTTCATATTTTTCTTTACAAAATTTATAAAGACTGCTGGAAAATAATTACTAATACCCACAGAAAAGCAAACGATTTAAAAAACTTTTTCTACTTCGAGTTTAAGTATCTGAAATTACAGCCCATCAGTAAACATTTCCTTTATTCATTATTCTCGTCGATTAATAATTTCTAGAGTGAAAATGAATTTAGGGCACACTTTGGCATTTTTATGAAAGAAAAGTCGATCAAAATGAATTGCTAAAGGTTTAATAACTTCGATTAATTGGTTGCACTTTCGCACGTCAGTGTCAGATATTAGAAAAAAACTTAATAAAGTTCCAAATAACTGACGTGTTCTTGAAACGGCCATGAAATTGAAAGGCCAAATGGATTTCAACGACCTTTTGCGAATTTTAAATTGCTTTTGCGCCATCTGCGTTTGTACGTCGGGGTTGGAAGAGAATGGCTTCATTATTTTGTTGTTAAGCCCGAATTCCGACTATAAGAACTTAAAATAGTACTTGAGAAACTCATCTGGAAGAAATCGAGCCAAGAGGAAATGACGGGAACGTAACAAATCGGAAAGGAAGTTTTATAAATGGCGTCGAGCCCAAAATTACTTCATATTTAATAAAATAAAACCCGAACTAAAAGGAGTATCTCAAGGGCGTATGTTGGGTCCGCTTCTCTTTCAGCCAAATTGGAGTTAGAAATTTATTTTATAGCAAATAAAACACTGGCCTGAACTGTTAATAAATTAATGCATTAATCTAAAAGGAGTACCTCAGGGGTGTATGTTGGGACCGCTTCTGTTTCATGGAAAGGAATAACGAATTTGATTGACTTTTCTGACTCGGGAAAAGGGGGAGTGGCGATGCAGTTGGAAAATTTCAAAATTTGTTTTTGGGATTTGGATGCTTCAATTATTCGAGTCAAAACGTGACCCAGTTTCGGGTCTTTCTTGGCAAATAGTTCGGTTCCGACGAACACCGTTGGCATGGCTCATAAATTTTAAAGGTGGTCGTCATCACCTCCAATACCAAGTTCAACTGCTTGCACATTCCTGAAAAATGCCGTTCCGAATGTCTGATTGGAGTGAATGAACGGTCGAAATGCCACCCCCAAGAATTCCAATATCTTTCACGTCAAGAATTTCAAATATCTATCCCTACAAAAGAATATTACCAGGCCATTTCATAATCCTTTGTTCTCTCGCGTAGTTTCTGTTTATTATTGTATGTACACGTCTCCTTCGTGAGAACGCATATACATACGAGTCATTTGGCCTAAAAGGATCTAAGAACAGACAATTTAGTGGGTTGCTAGGTGCTATATCCCCAGTCTTGCAGGGGGAATAAAATAATACTTCCAGACATGAACGACAAACAAGCATTCGTGTGAATGGTGGTTCTCTCAGTAACTTTTACTCTTTATCTTGTTTTGTTTTTATTTGATTAAGAAAAAGCTCACTCTTAAGTGCTGTATGAGTCGAAATATTAACTGATCAATGTGTTCTTTATATCCTGCTGAAACAGATCGTTTTGTTGGTCCAACATAAATTAGTCTAAAGTATTGAAATTTTATTTTCTAACCGATTTAGTTTTCTTTATTGCTTATTGAATTTCAGTATTTAAGTTGCAACTTTTGGTTTTTATAAACCTCTATCTTAAATGATACTTATTGTAAACCCCATTGTTTATTACATCCTCTTCTTCATGGTAGCCCAGGCGAGCTGTACAAAAGCAAGGGAATTTGTTGAACAAAGTATAAGTAAAGTCATTAAATGTTACGTTAAATCTACGAAGTACTATTTCAACTTAAGTAAGTGGCTCGTTAAAACAAGAAATAATTTAGATTAATTCCATTAGTTGGAATTGAATCTAGGCATTTGTTAGTTTCAGTTTTATTCCAAAAGTTACGCAAACAGGGTAGTAAACCAAACTTGGTAATTAAATTACCTTTTGGTAAGATTCGCTTTTCGATAAAATAAGTATATGTTGCACTAAATTACTAAATGTGTTAGCCATTGTTCATTTTTCGGTTACTACATACGGCTTAACGTCTTTTCTTCTTTTGTGATTGTTTAGGTGAGCTTATCCATCTCAATTCTCCTATCACTTACTGTGTTCTTCCTACTTTTGGCTGAAATTATTCCTCCAACGTCACTGGTGGTTCCTCTCTTGGGAAAATTTGTTCTTTTCACGATGATTTTGGACACGTTTAGTATATGTGTTACGGTAAGTTAACGTTGAATTAAATTTATGATTGTATTGCTTAAAAAGAATCGCGTTATTATATATGTTTTATAGTACGAGGGTGGATTGATAAGTTTCCGGCCTAACCAAGAGATGACGCCACTAGGCCTACCTTGAGGTGACATTCTATAGTACTATCCTTGGATAGCTTGTAGCTATAGTTTCAGCCCGATCTCCTTGCTAGTGTAGGTTTGACAGCACGCTGAACAAGACGCCTCTGTGGTTTTCGTAAAAATGGAAAAGCAGGAAAATCGTGCTGTCATCAAATACTTTTATTTGAAGGGGTTAACGCCGAAGGAAATTAAAAAAGAGATGGACTCAACACTGGGGACATCCTCCCCGTCATATTCAACCGTTAAGCAGTGGGTTTCCGAGTTTAAAAAGGGTCGTGTGAGCACCTCTGATGGGCCTCGCTCAGGACGCCCCGTTGAGGTCACAACTCCAGATATGATCGAAAAAATTCATCAAATAGTGCTGGGAGACCGCAGATTGAAAGTGCGTGAGATAGCTGAGACCTGTAAGATGTCATATGAACGTGTGCAACATATTTTGCACCAACATTTGCATATGGAAAAGCTCTGTGCAAGATGGGTGCCGCGTTTGCTAACAGTCGACCAAAAATTGATTCGAAAAAACATTTCTACCGCAAATTTGTCATTGTATAAGCGTAATCCAAGCGAATTTTTGCGTCGATTCGTAACCGTTGACGAAACGTGGGTCCACCACTACACTCCTGAAACCAAAGAACAGTCTAAACAGTGGATTGGACCAGGGGAACCAACTCCAAAGAAGGCAAAAACAATTTTTTCGGCGAACAAGGTTATGGCTACTGTTTTTTGGGATGCAAGAGGTATTATATACATTGATTACCTTGCAAAGGGTAATACTATCACTGGTCAATACTACGCAGACTTATTGCAACGTTTGAGCCACGAGGTGAAAATTAAACGACCTCATCTGGCGAAGAAAAAAATCTTGTTTCATCACGATAACGCACCAGCGCACACGTCAATCGTTGCGACGGCTAAAATCAACGATCTAAAGTTTGAATTGATGCCGCACCCTCCTTACTCTCCAGACCTAGCCCCGAGTGACTATTTTCTGTTCCCTAATCTCAAAAAATGGCTTGGCGGTAAGAGATTTGCGGACAATGAAGAAGTAATCGAAGCTGTAAATGGTTATTTTGAGGAGCTTGACGAATCAGTCTATAGAGATGGCATTAATAGACTGGAACACCGCTATGAGAAATGTATCAGCCTTGGAGGAGATTATGTTGAGAAATAAAAAAAAAATTTTTAAAAACCTTGTTTTTCTTGGTCAGGCCGGAAACTTATCAATCCACCCTCGTACTTTTAGTTCAGTCTACTGATTTTTAAATTTTGATTGAGTTTCTGGAATGGAAATAATTAAAAATAAAAAAAAGCAAAGGTGTATATAATAAGTAAGTGATTGTAGGGTTAGAACTAATATAAAAAATTAGAAGAATTCACTAATTTTTGATATTTGGGAAAATGCTCTAGAAAAATTGATTTAATAATTCGAAAAAAATTATCAAATCTGCATGCTTAGAGAATGGTGGGATGTTTTTGGGAAATGTAGGGACTATCTTGTTGTGGTGGTTGAAGTTCAGGTAAAATATTGATTCTACTATGCAAAACTTTAGCAATAGATTCAACAAATAATTTACAAAATAACAACCAGATTATGCCTTTTATAAAGTGCAAAATATTGCATCCATTTTAATTACCTTACACGAATATATCTGCTCATGAAAATGGAATATTTAAATTCGTTAGTACGAATTAATAATTTATAGATAACATTCAAAATGCGCTCTATTTATTGAAAAATGATAGTGCATAAATGCATGTATATGTACACGACGATGGTTTTGCAATTTAACATTTAAAAACTACAAAATTAAATTATTTTGCTAATCACCTGACGGCATTGATTGTTTTAATTAAGATTAAAATTACTATTTTATGAAGAAGAATGTGGGGATATTCAGCTATATAAGTATCGGTATAAAATTGAAAAAAAAAGCAAGAAGTTGTTGATGTAAATCGGCAACTGCATCAACTTCTGTTTGCTGCTCGTGTTTATTCATGTAATTTATTCTATCGTCGTCGGATGGGAAAACAGTTTTTCCTCTGATCGTTTTGTTTTACATTTTCCTCTACGAGATCTTCACTTAATCAGATTAAGAGTTCGCTTGTTTCCACCTTTTTTACATGAAAAATTTATTGATCTTACATGGTTACTTTCAGAGAAAAGGTTGCTTTTCAAAATTCCGAAAACATATCTTATTACATAGCAGTTTGAATTATAATCCGATATTACAAATGCAGGACAAACAGAAACCTTAGTCTACACAAAATTTAATATTATTATCATACGCTTTTACTCAGTAGTTACTTTTCGTTTTATCTTATTAAATATTTCAGTAATAATCTTTTCAAGTTGTCTTAGCACATTGGGGTTTAATATCCCTTGTGAATCTTTTGAATAAATGAGATAGTCTCTAAAGCAATATTAATAACACCTAAGCATCAATTAATATTGCAGATGCAGTCTAGTGAGTTTACTCTGGAACAGTCGTTTTGAAATTATTCAAGAACACTACTCTATAACAACTTTATTCTTTATTGCTATTCCATGTGGTTTTATAGTCCTCTCAACGACCAAAATTAAACAAAAACTCAGCTAGGCAAGGAAGTATTTAGTTACCAAGTTGCAATATAAAGTCTGCAGCTTTTTCTTTCGTAAATCGCAAGCACATTTAAGTCCAGGATTTAATTGTTATCCCTATCTTTCCTCCTTTTCTTTTAAAAAAAAAAAATAACTCGTGAAGATTCTAAATATATACAGGGTGGCCCAAAAGGTATTTATTTAATGAATAAATCGTCTCCAACAGCTAAATTTATATTACTATACGGGGTGTTCATGGATAGAAATAATAGGAATTTCGTTTAAATGACAACACTGCTAAATATTGAAACCAAAATATTTTCTATTATTTCTTTTATGAAAAGGTGGTTGTATTAAATGTTCACTTCCGGTCTCCTACAACCCATGAAATGGCACCATGGGTAAGGAGAGTGTTCATCCATGTTCTTCCACGACTTCTAGTTATGAGAAGACCTCATTACCAATTGGATAGACTAAGAAGGTTTGAATTGGGAAGACTTTCTGCTTGCAACGGTTATGAACTCCATAGCTGCGACGACGGAAACGGCGACGATGGGGTTTTTCCTAGTGACGGCTCCAGGTAAACATAAATCTTTTCGTTGCAGGGTTGTCAATCCGAAGACAGCCCATCCTAAGTCGATCATCAAATTTCCCGAAAACTAGAACGTCCTTCATCCTTAACTAGTTACTTTCTAATCTACGTTTTCTGTTCCCCTGTTTCCTTCTGCTTCTGTTATCTAACTAAACCTTCGTTTCTCAGAAAGTGTCCTACTTTCCCTACTGTCCCTATTTATAATATTTTCATCTTTCTCTGATAACACCACAACATTTAATAAAAGAATATAATATATACAGGGATGAACTAACTCGTGGTGAAATTGGTCCTGCCACCTGTCGTATCCACGGCGTAAATCCACCACCGCCGCCCCCATCGTCGTGGAAAAAGTGCCCAGAAGTTCACAAAGCCATCGACGGGCTTTGCTTCATTGCAGACCATACTCAAAGGGAGGAAGATTCGACGCGAGTAAAAGAAGATTGGAAATATGTGGCTATGGTTTTGGACAGACTATTTCTGTGGATATTTACCCTTGCTGTACTTGTTGGAACGGCTGGGATTATTCTACAAGCCCCTACCCTGTATGACGATCGTATGCCAATTGATGTGCGCTTATCAGAAATCGCTTCGACAACGGCTAAACCCCATGTGGTCACACCGATTTAATTGCCCTGCATTAGATTCTATACGACGAAAGATCGTAGTTTGAATTTTGTTTCGGATCTGGGTATTTCTCGTTCGTTTTTTATATCAGGTAAGTGCTTTTAAAGATTTTTAAACTTTTTGACGTGACAACGTCTTATAATTCGATGGACGCACGGAAAAACATGATTCATGCGGCGTTACCTCGCTCTGAGGCGTTCCATTTAAGGCTTGAAGTGCAAGCAAGAGCGCGGAACGAGCGACAAAGAGGCACAATCGGCCTCCGCGTTCGGCAGCGTTCGACATCTGTCTCTCTCCTACTTGAGTGAGCGATGCGTCCGCGTGGACAGCTGCT